AGGTCATGGTTTGATTCCCGGTCAGGACACATGCCCATGTTGCTGGCCCAGTATGGAGTGTGCAGGAGGCAGTCAATCAATGATTTTCTCTCATCATTGATGTTTCTATCTCTCTTTCCCTCTTCCTTCCTCTTTGAAATCAATAAAAATATATTTTAAAAAATAATCACTGTATTTAACTTTGTTCTTCCCACCCCTGACCTACCAAATGTGTGAGTTACATGAACCCACTAGTTGGATAATTAATCAAACAACACAAACCCTCCATCTGGCAGAGGCACGGTGTCAGCATCACAGAGTAGCAGTTCACACTAGGAACCTTCCGCATGCTGGGCCCTTTACATGCACTGTCATGGGTTGGAAAGAACATGGGTATTGCAGTCTGCCAATGTGGATTTTGATCCTGGTTATAATGCTAACAGCCCTGTGGGGAGGTGTTCCTCCGCCAACACCGATTCACTGAGGTGCCGTGAAGAAGCCCAGATGCAGGCAGGCGACGTGAACTTCTGAGGACACTCAGAGGGCAAGGCCGGTGCTCCTGTTTGACTCCAGCTGTGCTCATTTTCCCAGTGTTATGCCCTCTCTGGCTTTTGGTGGGACGTATGACCATCTCATTTCAATGGGTGGTGTTTTGTGTTTCCAGGGCTCTTTCTGCATTTACAAAAGCCCCGAGGATTCCAGCACTGAGGACAACGGGCAGCTGAGAATCCAGCAAGGAATTCCACCCAACCACCCCGTCAAAGTCATGATCCGGGTGTACATTGTGGCGGTGAGCAGTCCTGTTTACTCTGAGGGGCTTAGTCTGCTCAGGCTGCCATTCAAAACACTACCGACTGGGTCACTTAAATAACAGGCATTTATTTTCTCACAGTTCTGGAGGCTGGGAGTCCGTGATCAAGGTGCCATCAGGATTGGTTTCTGGGGAAGCCTCTCTCCCTGGCTTGTAGATGGCCATGTTCTGGCTGTGCCCTCACATGGCCTTTCGCCTGTGTGCACATTCAGAGAGAGAGAGAGAGAGAGAGAGAGAGAGAGAGAGAGGGAGAGAGAGCTCTGGTGTCTCTCCCTCTTCTTATAAGGCCATTAGTCTTGATGGATTAGGGCACCACCCTCAGGCTCCTTTAGCCTTAATTACCTCCCTAAAATTTAGGGCCTAAATGCTCCTCTCCAAGTACAGTCACACTGGGGGTTAGGGCTTCCACGTGTGAATTTTGAGAGGACACAGTTCTTCCATAACAGGGGTGTGAAGCTTGGGTGGTAACGTGGACATCTACCTGCTGGCTTTCCAGGCTTGATGTGTGTAGCCGTATTTGCTCTCTGGGTTTGCTGCTAACTGGGAAGAAAATCAAATAGGCTGGAAGCAGGAAGCTCCCAGGCAAGACTGTTAGAAAAACAAACAGGGCAGCTGCCACTGTGAGGTTCTCCCGCGCCCCTCCTACTAGGCCTCTGCTCTGTGACGCTGAGAAATCCATGTTGAATGTATTTCCCAGAAAAACATTCTCTGCCCTACTTTTTGAATATGCAAGCCCTAAACTTTAATTGTAAAACGTTGGGGCCTGATTGCCAGGAAGCTCAGGGCCAAGTCTGAGCAGTTGTCTGCTGAACCTCTGTGGTTCATGCATCTGTTTTCATCTCCTGAACTTGGAGTTGATTTCCATAATCTTATTTGATTGCGGTAGTCTTATTTTATATTAACTCTCTGCTGACATTGCCTGCATCCTTTTTTAAAAACATAAAGGAAGCCTAAAATAAAAATGAATTCTTCTTTGTGCTAAAGGAGAACTAAGCTTCCCCTTTCCATCGTGCCACTAACATGTTCATAGTCATCGCCACGACCACCACGTGCCAGGCGTGTTCTAACCACTGGGATTTGGGGATGAGAAGCACTTGTAAAGAATCACTAGCAATGCTGGGTAGTTTATTCTAAACACCCACCCACAGGATAGTTTAGACCAGTGATTCTCAACCTTGGCTGCACATTAGAATCACCTGGGTCGCAAAGCCCTTTTCTTACAGGGAGAGCTGACCTGCCACGGGCCAGGCGGCCTGGCTGGAGGTGGAACGCCTGTCACTGTACTAGCTGTGCCTGGTGAATCTGGACATAGGATGGGGCCCTTGGAGTTCATCTTATTCAGATTTCCTGATTTTGTGAGACAGGCATTTCCCCCTCCTGCTTCTCTGCAAGCCATAGGATGGAGGTGGCACCTTCCAACATCTGTGGGGCAATGGTGCCCCCTTGTGGCTGCAGCTCCAACCCAGCGGCTCTGCTCACTACCAATGGAAAGGGGTGGATTTGGACCCCTGGGCATGGGGGAAAGGTATTTCTGTGGCCAGGAGAGTCACGGTATCTCATGGGGCACACTAGAGGCCCTGCCCATGAGTGGAGTGAAGGGTGCATCGGAAGCAGAGGCTGTGGAGATCTGAGGGAGGCCAGATGGGGAGGGCAGTGGATGATGAGTGAGGACTGGTTCTTGAGGCGATATGGCCTAGGTCAGTGGTCGGCAAACTCATTAGTCAACAGAGCCAAATATCAACAGTACAACGATTGAAATTTCTTTTGAGAGCCAAATTTTTTAAACTTAAACTATATAGGTAGGTACATTGTTATTAACTTTATTAGGGTACTCCTAAGGCGTAGGAAGAGCCACACTCAAGGGGCCAAAGAGCCGCATGTGGCTCGAGAGCCACAGTTTGCCGACCACTGGTTTAGATTAACCTTTTCTAAATCTTGTTCAGGAGGTCACTCAAGTCTTGAGAGAGATAATTTCTTTGAAAATCACCCCACCTCTGCAATTCCACCCCCAGAAATAACTTACTTTAACCTGCAGATACAAATAAATCTAGATCTATTTCCACTCGTCTATAGCTCCTGTATGTACAAATAAATTTGAGAAGTGGTGCATATAATATTTTTTCCTTCACCAACCCCTGAGGTCCACAAGGCTCATTAGCACAGTCAAGGCTCTGAGAATTCCAGAAGCAAAGAAATCTATTTAACTGTCGAGTCTTTAACAGCATCATCTAAACTTATTGCCCCACACTTTTTTTTCTCTCTACAGAAAACCCTGCAGAACTACGGTTCTCTGGGACAAATTTGGGGCAACCCAGAAATAGAGGGTTCGAGCAGTACAAGGAAGGAGAAAGATTTTGGACCCAGAGATGGGAGAAGGACCATTATGTATTGATTCATTCAGCAAACATCTACAGCCCACTTTTATATGTCCAGTACCCTTTAGACTGAGGCCAGGAATGCATATCAGCTCCTGCTCAGGAAACAGTGGAGGAGGGAGGGCTTGGGCCGGAACTTGAGGACAAGCAGGACTTGGCCAAGTGAAGAGCAGGGGTGGCGGCCCTGGGTTGCAGGATGTAGGATAAATTCACTGTAATTATGGACAGTATATGCTTTTCATTGACATTTCTAGTAATAGTGATTGTGTGGTTTACTCTCTCACACTAAGATTTTACCCATTAACTACATAAGTTAATTAGAAATCGTTTCATTTGCCCGACCAGCGTGGCTCAGTGGTTGAGCATCGACCTATGAACCAGGAGGTCACAATTCTATTTCTGATCAGGGCAAATGCCTACAGGATCCCCAGTGGGGGGTGTGCAGGAGGCAGCCGATCAATGGTTCTCTCTCATCATTGATGTTTCTATCCCTCCCTTTTTCTCCCTCTCTGATGTCAATAAAAATATATTTTTAAAAAATATTTTCATTTAATAAAACACCAACAAAGTAAAAATAATACTACTTAAAAGTTGCATGAAGAAAGAAAGAAAAATCCCCCCCCTCTGCAATTCCACCCCCAGAAATAACTTACTTTCACCTGCAGATACAAATAAATCTAGATCTATTTCCACTTGTCTACAGCTCCTCCCTGGTAGTTATTTAACAGAATCCTGCTTGATACATTACATATTGATCTCCTATCTTCTTTTCTTAGCTAGTAATACAACTTGGACATTTTCCCAGATCAGTATATACAGGCGTTTCTCATTCTTCTTAGTAGCCACCTAGCATTTTTCTGAATTAATGTTAGCATCCATTTATTCATCCATGCAACAAATATTAAGAAGACTGTATTCGAGATCCTGGAAATAATATAATGAGCAAGACAGCCAGTAGCCTTGCTCTCTTGGCGATTACATACTAGCTGGAGATAGTGGGGCATTAAGAATGTATTAAATAGAAACAAAGGGTCAGGTAAATAAAATGAAAGTCAGAGATAACTGCAGCGTGGATGATTAAAATTGAGCGATGTGATGAAGGGACCATTTTGGATTAAGTTTCCCCTTAAGTAATTCACATGTAGATTGTCTACAAATGTGGCTATTAAGCATGCTCTCATGAACTCCTTGAAAATATAGCTCTGTGTGCTCATGCCATCCCATCTGTAGGATAGAGTCCTGACTACGGATTGTTTCTCACTCAGCTCTCATCCCTACAGAGTTTCTCCCTCTTTTCAGCCTCATTCCTCACTGACCCCCTACCCCCACTTTCTCTTAGAAAATGTTTGCTGCCCTAGCTGGGTGGCTTAGTTGGTTGGAGCGTCATCCTGTACACCAAAAGGTTTCGGGTTCGATTCCTAGTCAGGGCACATACCTAGATTACTGGTTCGATCTCTAGTCAGGGCACATATGGGAGGCAACAGATTGATTGATGTTTCTTTTCTCACATCGATGTGTGTTTTCTTTCTCTCTCTCTCTCTGAAAACCAGTAAAAACATATCCTTAGGTGAGGATTTTTTTTTTAAAAAAAGTGTTGCTTGTGATGTTTTATTGCCCAGCTTCTCTGGAGCCAGACTCACTCTGAGAAACAGATCATTAATCAGCCAGTGCTAAATGCAAGACTGATGGGGTCATGGACTCAGAGCCCAATCCTTCTGGGCTCTGATTTGACAGATCTCAGACTGCCCAACCAGAACCAGAACTCAAATGCATGCCTCTGCCTCCTGGCCCAGCAAATTCCTCATGCCTCTGTGCCAAGCGCTGCTTTCCCCAGGCAGACAACTCCAGAGAATGCTGAACTTCGGCAAAGCTGATAGCTCTTAACAGCAACATGGGGAGCTAATGCAGTGGTTCTTAGCCTTGGCGGCACACTAGAGTCCTCTGGGGAGCTTCTAAAAAGCCCAAAGCCCAGGGCCAAGTAAATCAACACCTGGGGATGGTGGGAGTGGGGCGTCTGTGTATTTTAAACTGCCCAGGGATCCCAGTGAGCAGCCAGTGGTGGGAACCTCTGGACCAAGGGGATGTCCTTTCTCGCCCCCAGGCATTTAATCTTAGCCCAGCCGATCCAGATGGCAAATCGGATCCCTACATTGTGGTCAAGCTTGGCAAAACAGAAATCAAGGACCGAGACAAATACATCCCCAAGCAGCTGAACCCAGTGTTTGGAAGGTCAGTGGCCATCTGGGTGGAGTCGCTCCTGCTGTGCATCTGGAGGGGGCAGGGGCTGCTGTGTACAGGGGTGTGTCTGAGTACGTGGTGGCAGGAGGTTAGATGTTAACTTCTGCTTTGTGGAGAAAGGCCAACTTCTTTGGTCCCTTCAGGTATAAGGTGGTACATGGTGATCCTCACGCCGACGGTTCTCCAATAATGATTTTCCTAGATCTTCATCTCTCCTAGATTCAGCCTCCTGCTTTTGGACAGGGATGTATCCTTTTTGCAAACATGGCAACCAAGGCCCAGAGAGGTTTAGAAACTCATTCAAGTTCACACAGCTCGAGTGGAGAAGGGGCCACACCTTTGGTCTTGTCTCCTGCCAAAGGGATTTTCCCATCGTATCATTTTGCAGCTCATTTGAGGTGACCCCCAAAGTAAAAAGGTTGAACTGTGTCCCCCACCGTGCTTTGTTTTCCTGCAAAGTGTGTTGCATGTGTGCATGTTGGGTGAACCAGGCTTTCCCCCGTTCACAGAAACCCCACCACCCCCATTTGTCTGCTAACAGGTGTGCCGCACATTCGTGTTCCCTGCTTGAGCTGGTGCACCTGATTGCTGTTAACTTTGGAGTCAAGCAGATTCGGGTTTCATTCTGCCACATACAGGCTGTGTAACTTTATGCAGGTGGCTTAACCTCTCTGATCCTGGTTTTCCTCATCTGTAAAGCAACAACAGTGACTTGACTCTCAGGCGTCTTTAGGACAGTGGTTCTCAACCTTCTGGCCCTTTAAATACCTTTCCTCATGTTGTGACCCAACCATAAAATTATTTTCGTTGCTACTTCATAACTGTAATGTTGCTACCGTTATGAATCGTAATGTAAATATCTGATATGCAGGATGGTCTTAGGCGACCCCTGTGAAAGGGTCGTTCGACTGCCAAAGGGGTCTCGACCCACAGGTTGAGAACCGCTGCTTTAGGAGATTAAATGTATAGAATCTCACTGTAGGCTATGCTAGCCCATAAGAGGTACTCAAAACACATACCTTTCCTCTCTCTCTCTCTTAATAATCATTTTAGCAACAGATATATGTTAAGTGTATTTAATTTCCTGGTTTCCTGAGTAACAGGAGTGTGGAGTGAAATCTCCATCAACCTTATTTAAATTCACTTCCACATTTGCGATCTCTTCGGACCCTCTGACATTTGATGAGCGCCAAACCCTTACACTTTCCTGCTCCCGAGGAAATGAAATAAATGATTGTGCCTGCTCAGGTTTATGAAATGATTACAACGATGCCAGGGAAATGCACCCTCGCTTCCCTGATCCAGAGGTGACCTTTATCATTATCTGCCGTTTATGTAACCGGCACTTCATTTTGCCAAGTGCTTTGCAGTTACTTTTTATTTGCCACTCTCACCACAGCGCCCTGAATTAGACTGGCTGTATTACGCCCGCTGATGGCTGTGGTAAACAGGAGAAGGGGGTGATGCAATATTTCTCCCGCCTGGGCATTGCAGACTCTTCCAGAAGCCTCCACATGTGGATGCTTTGTTGGAATGGTATTTAATGGTGACTCAGCGACAAAAGTTGCTGGCTCATTCCTGCAGTGTTCCAGCAGGGAGAGCGGCAGGCTCCTGGGCCTGACCTGGGTGGGGTCAGGGACTCCCTCTTTGGGACCTCACCACTGAATGAGGATGCCACAGGCTCCACCCGTGACCCCTGGCACCTCGCCTGCTTTTCCTTACGGCCTCTGACATGAATTGACATGTTTGGGTGTTTATTGGTTGTCTCTTATCTCCCCACTGGAATGTAAGCTCCACTGAGCAGGGACTCAGTCTAGCCTGTTCAACGCCACGCCCCCAGCACCCAGGACAGGGCATACACGCGAACTCATTTTTTTTGGTTGATTTTTCTTTGTTAAATGGCATTTAAATATATAAAATAAATATCAAAAATATAAGTCTTTGTTTTACTATGGTTGCAAATATCAAAAAATTTCTATATGTGACACGGCACCAGAGTTAAGTTAGGGTTTTTCAAAATGCTGACACGCCGAGCTCAAAAGGTTCGCCATCACTGGTCTAGCCTGTTCAATGCCACATCCCCAGCACCCAGGACAGGGCATGGCACGGCACAGAGCACATGCCCAGTGAGTACTAGTAGAAGGAATAAGTGAGTGAATGAATGATGAACGAATGAATGAACAGATGGGTGGACAAACCTCCAGTCAGTTTCCGGTGGGAATTAATAGGGCCTGTCACTGTGCATCAGCCTGAATGGCACCTGTCTGCAGACTTCGGTGGTTCCTTGTTTTCTTAGTCACCACAGTGCCTGGCACATAGTGGATGTGTAATTACTGTCCAGTGAACAGAGGAATTAGCAAGAGAACTAATAACTGAACAAAGAAACAGTGGAACATCGTTGCTCTGAAGCTCAGAGGAACTGATTTTTCAAAGGCTCAGTTTTTACCCAGTTCACGGTGCATTTCTCAAACCACCATTGGACCTAGAGATGGTGAGACAGCCCCAGTGAAGAGCCAGGAGAGGTTAATCTGTGAGCACACGGCTCAGGAGATGGAACAGAGGCATGGAGTCGGCATGGTTGCCAGGGGCAGTTAGCACTTAAGTCCTTTCCTGGTGGCAGCTAAGCTCAGACATGGGCAGCTGGATGCTTCCTTGTGAGATGCCTCCAGAATCAATTACTGTTTGGATTCCAGGGAGGCAGTACTATGTCTTTAGGTGGAAGATGCTAATTTCTTCCCCACACAGCCTGCTCCCGCTGCCTTAGTCAGTTACAGTCCCGGAAGCTTGGAGCTGGCTGCCTTTTTCTCTGGGGGAGGGGGGGGGGCGAGGGTTAATTGGCTCAGGCTGTGCTGTGATTGCAGTTCCTGCCACACCAGAGAGTGAGAGTCAGGGCCGCGTGGATCTGAGCACGAGGGCAGCAGCCCAGACAGGCCCTCGGGCACGTGGGAAATAATGGGTCCTCAATCTCCCTTCCTCCCGCCTCCTCCCTGTCCCTTGCTCCCAGGCCACCCCACCTTGCCCCGAGAACAGTAGAGAAACATTGGTGTGTCTTGATTTGGCTTTCAGGACGACATTTCCCTAAAATGCAGGGTTTAATTCTTAGCTTCTCTAATGCTCAGTCGCATGGATAATGCATTGTCCCAGGAAGTCCAGCAGCAGGATGGACTCTAACACCTTGCACTGACGTGGCATCCAGGAAAGAGCCAGAACTAGGAGTCAGAAAACCGGCACTTCTATGCGTTGGGCCTGACTTATGCCCCTGGCCAAGTCACTTGTGTTCTCTGGATTGTAACGTCCTCATCTATAAAGTGAAGGGATTGGATATGGTGACCCCTGAGGTCCCTGGCAGCTCAGGGAAACGCTGCTGCCTACTCTGTGCAGGGGCATGCAGGCTGCAACCGTGCGGAGATGAGGACGGCGGGTCTCTGTTCTCGGGGCTCAGACTCTGTAGAGACGGCATTCCAGCCCTGCCAGCCTAGTCTTTAGGGCAGTGGTTCTCAACCTTGGCTGCACATTAGAATCACCTGGGAATCTTTTTAAAATCCTGATTTCTGGGCCTCATCCTCCGGAAATTCTGTTTCTTTTTTTTGGGGTGGGGCCACAACATTAGTAACAAAGAAACAGAATTTCCGGAGGATGAGGCCCAGAAATCAGGATTTTAAAAAAAATTCCCAGGTGATTCTAATGTGCAGCCAAGGTAGAGAACCACTGCTTTAGGGTTTGTCCATCTTGTATAGGGCTCTCATTTCAAATAAGCTCAGCTGTACTCCCCGATGGAGCAAAAGTGGGCGGGAACGGGAATGGCAATCTATTGGGCACCAGTTCAATGCCTGGAAGTAAAATGTGCGCTTTGTAAAAACAGCATTTAACCACCTCACTGTCTTATAAAGAAGACGCTTATCTCCATTTACACATAAGGAGCCTAAGGGATGAAGAAACTTTCCCATGTTTTACAATCAGGAAGGTACTGGTTCAAAACCAAGGCTGGAAATCAGTTTGAGACCAAAACCCAGGGATCTTCCTCTCCATCTAGCTGCCCCCCTAGTTAAAGAAGGAATCGGCTGGCCCATGAATGAGGAGATTAATGGCTACTGAAAAGTGACAACAGAATTGGAAATTGTTGTGTCTTAGTGAAAAATTAAACCACATAAATATCTCCTGAGTGTTTAGTGCGTTCATGCGGACTGCAGGCTCGCTAAATGCGAAGCTGGGAAATGTCCCCTGTCGCCAAATGTTGACTCCCAAAGCCTCTGCTTGGACCGCAGGTCATTTGAGATCCAGGCCACGTTCCCAAAGGAGTCCCTGCTCTCCGTCCTGATCTACGACCATGACATGATCGGGACAGATGACCTCATTGGCGAGACCAGGATCGACCTGGAGAACCGCTTTTACAGCAAACACCGCGCCATCTGCGGCCTGCAGAGCCAGTACGAGATGTAAGTGCTTTCCCCGCAGAGACACTGCTGGCCTCCCGAGGTCCCAAGGCTGTGGGCTCAGATCGCCTGCTCCGGGAACGCCAGCCAAGGCTCAGCTTCAGCGTCTCAAATGGGCTCCCCGTCAGCGCATCTGCGGCCTGCAGAGCCAGTACGAGATGTAAGTGCTTTCCCCGCAGACACTGCTGGCCTCCCGAGGTCCCGAGGCTGTGGGCTTAGATCACCTCCTCCAGGAAGGCCAGCCAAGGCTGAGCTTCAGTGTCTCAAATGGGCTCCCCACCAGCAGGGCGGGATTGAGGAAAATGCTCGCTGCCCTGGAGGGGGGTTGGGTTGGGGAGACAGCACTGATGTAGGGCCCAGGGAAGGTCCTTCAAGAGCCAGGAGCTGAATTGCATGTGTTCACTCAATCAGCTGGGCCTGGTGGGCAGAGTTCCATGAAGGGGAGTGATGCCAGAAGAATGATTATTATAACACAAATGCCAACACCCCAGTTAATTATAACTAACACCTATGACATACCAAGCACCTTCCATAGAGTATTTCAGTCAATTCTCTCAAAACCCAGTGAGCCGTTATCCCCAACTTAAAAATGGAGCAAGTGTGGGCCCAGCTCTCACTCTTTACAAAGATTTTGAATTCTGCTTAATTTGAAAGTATAGACTACCAGCTTTATTTAAAAAAAAAATGTAACTGATATCTTAAAGAAAAAAATTAGAATCTTACAATTACAAATTTCAGCTAGGAAAATATAAAAACATTCATTAGATTTTCATGGTATACTTTTACAAATATTTTTATGAATATAAAATAATATGTTCATTGTAGAAAATTTAGGAAATACAGAAAGTACAAAATAATGCTCAAATTATTCCATCCAGAGATAACTTCTGTAAAGAAATTTTATGTATTTCCTTTTAGTGTTTTTTTCTATGCTATTTCCCCCCAAAGTTAGATTTATACTCTCTGTACAGTTTTGTAAATCACTTGTCTCACTAAGCTTTGTAAGCATTCTAAAATATCATTAACATCCTTCAACATAATTATTTTACTAACTCTATGGTGTTCCATTATACGAATTTATTATAACATGATATGACCAGTTTGCCTTTGTGAACTTTAGGACATTTACATTTTTCTTCTTTATTCCACTAGAAATATTGCTGCTATAAGCATACAAAAGCCATTGCACACCCCTCTGACAATTCGCTCAGTATTCATCTGCAGATATGGATTATTCCATTGAAATTAGTATAGACGTCCAAATGGCTCTGTAGGAGGGCTGTCCCCATTTAGATGCACATGAACAGAGTCTGTGTGCTTGTTCCCTTCACGGCATGATTTCAGGCACGTGTCTACGGCTGGCCTCCTCTCCTCTGAGCCCAGGAAGCCAGTTCAGTGTTGGCACCCCAGTGACTGTATAAGCCTCCGAGGTATTCTCATCACCCACAAGTACAGGAGAGGCTACCATTCAGAACATGATTAGCTGAACTAACTCCAAAGTCGGGGCAGGAAGCCACAGGCCAGCGTGGTGCATCCTTTGTTCAGAAGAATTTCCAGACAGTGGAACTACCTATGAGCAAAATAGTTTAGTCAGCGAACTTATAACCTTTGTTCACTGAAAAAGTTTTAGAATAAGACAAGAGCACCTGTGTCTGGGGAGGCCTGTGTGTGGCTCTGGCCTTGGTTTGGATGGTCACTCCAGGGCCCTCGTATCTCTGGCACGATGTAGGACAACGGCTTTGTAGCCATGTTTTGATTGATTTAAATGCTTAGACAAGTTAAGTTCTGATGAATCCTGGGTCCCAATGTGCAGAGAAATCCAAGCTCATCTTAGTCATGGCTCTTAGAGAGCAGTTCATTGCCAGTTAATAACTTTTAAAACAGCTCTTCTTAAGGGATGAAAGGGTTGGACAGATTTAGAAACAACACGCATAGACTTTCTGCCTATGTCATGAGTCTACAGTATGATTTGGGGGTGGAGGGAGCAGAGGGGAGGAAAAAAGCAGAGAAACTGAAAGAATGAGCTAGGCTTTTCTCTAAGAATAAATAGCAGCCAAATGGCTATTCTGTTAGAAGCAGAACAAAAACAGCCTGCAAAGAAATCCGTGGAGACAGCAGGTTGGTGATTGCCAAAAAGGGAGCGGGGAGGAACGAGGAGGAACTGCTTGATGGGCACAGGGTTCTTTTGGGGTGATGGAAATTTTTTGGAACTAGATAGAGATAGTGGTTGCACAACATTGTGAATGTTCTAAATGCCACTGAATTTGGTCAACCTTATAATGGTTAATTTTATGTTATGTGAATCTTGCTTCAAATTTTTTAAAGTACATTTCTTTAAAAAAAATAAACAACTTACAAAAGATTTTTATGTCAAGCTATTCAGCAGTCCTGCTTTTCATACAAGCATCATATGCAGAGGTTTAGACCAGAAAAGAGAGAAAACAAAACAAAAACCGCTAGCCCAAGTGTATAGAACGGCAAGTCGAATCTGAAGGAAACCACGCGGATCTTAGGGGCCCTTTGAATAGGGACAGGGAGTGTGTCCTTCCAGGGGAAGCCGGGCCTCCCCTCTCTGTCCTCCCTCCACTTTGCAGAGAAGGATACAACGCCTGGAGAGACACGTCCAAGCCCACAGAAATCCTCGCCAAGCTCTGCAAGGACAACAAGCTGGATGGGCCCTACTTCCATCCCGGGAAAATACAGATCGGAAGCCAGGTCTTTTCTGGAAAAACAGTCTTCACTGAAGAGGACTCGGGTAACTTCCCCCAACACAGCCCCCTGACTTTGCTGTTTTGAAAAGCCTGCTTCTGGTGGTGTTGGTGGCCGGGGACAGTGGTCATCTATGGTAAAAGTGATGCATGCTCATGGGAGAAAATGTGGAAAAGTAAAGAGGACAATGCAGATCACTTATAATCCCCAAAGCAGAGATAAGCATGTTGCATGCTGGTTCATTTCCTTACAGTTTGTGTGCATGTGTGTGCGCGTGCTATTATCACATTTTTATAGAATTATAAATGTCATGTAGTTTTGTATCCTGTCTTTTCTATTTCAAATAGATCATGACAATTCTCCCTTGTGCTTTGAAATGATCACTGATAATATTCATTTTTATGGTTTTGCCATTTATTTACATTGTGTTCACTTTCTGCAGTGACACTTAATGCTACCATGCATTTCCTCATACCTACTTTTGCACATTTCTGATGTTTCTAGAGATCACATAAGTAGAATTGATGTGGCAGAAGGTAGGCAATGATCTTAAAAAGAATGTTATATACAGTAAATTTTTGGACACAACCAAAATTACCCCCATAAATGTTTATACCAACAACTCTCTGATTTCAACACTAAAAGGGAGATTTTCCATAGGAATATCATGGCACCTACCAGGAAGGTCCCAGGGAGGTTTTCATAAACTTA